TAAATGTACATTAATTTAACTAAAATAGCAATTAAAACAAACAAACAATAGTAGAAAATAATCTTTATATAATGCATCTTTTTACTTATTTGATTGAATCGCTAATATTTAAAATCAATACCATTTTCAAAATATTAGTAATAATTTAAATAAATAAAAATAAATCCATAAATTAATTTGAATAGTTTAAATATAATTTGAATTAATTTGAATTAATTTGAAATATATTAAATTTAAAATAATAACTATAGAATATTTTAGATTATTGCTAATTTTATAAACCAACTAAAATTCAATACTCCAATTATCAAAATCAAATCTTTCTGATAATTATCTGGACCAAAATTCCTACTGAAGAAAAACAGAAATTTTGTTGGAGAGTTGTGGCCTAACGAAGCGGTTTGCCTAAAGGTCAACGATTTCTCTGCCGGGACTTCTCTATGTAGGCGTTTGGCATGCAAGCCAAGAGTGTTATTATACAAGATAACTAGCAGGAGGTGCCCTTGTATAAAAAATCTTGGTAGTGGAGAGGACTCTTTGGATATTCCGGATATCCCTCTTTTGCCGTTGATGAAGCTCTTAGATCGTTACTTCAAAGAAGAACACAGGGGAACAACAAAATATTATGTTTTTCTTTTAAGCCGCACTCTTTTCACTTGGTCAAGTGGTTCCTTTTTACTCTTTCTCATTTTTCCGTCGGTCTTCCAAAAAATTCGACAAAAAGTGGGGATTTGGCTTACCCCCTCCTAAAGATTGGCATTGTTTACTTCCCAAACTCAGACAGATTAGTGGAATGCAACCACATGTTTGTTTACAAACGAATATGGCACTTTTTTATGAGACTCAGTCTGGAAACTTTAATTATGGCAGCAGGTGGCTTGAGACACAGGTCCTCGGACGTTGGCAGCACCTGGCTCAAGATACGAATTAGGATGAGCAACGTAGCTATCCAGAGTTGGTGAGAAGGTCGAAAAATAAATTTAACATTAAGGCAAAGCTTTATAGTAGAAATATACAAATGTTGTATTTGGTATATAATTTTTATCAGCCACGCATGGGTTATAATAGTGCTGTTAGGATTTTAGATTTCTTTTTATGTTTTTTCTTTTTCGCAATCAGTGTTTCTATTTTTTTTCTGTTTTTTCTTTTTTTCTAGTCGTTTTCATAACTCTCTATTAAAAATTTCTCCCTTTTGTCTCGTGTCTCTTGAGAAGAAGGAAGAATTAGAAGAGAAAAAAGAGATCCTGACATGGTATACAATATCTGGTCAAATGATCAAGGGGTATCCTTTGTCGATACGAAATTTGAAATGAGTTTTGGATTCCCTTGTGAGGCTAATAGTTGTTTTAACAGGTCGCATTAGGCAGTACTTTGTATACTTGGTGAGTTTCTATTAGAATAGAGCATTATACTATGTCGGGAGTTACTTATATAATAATCGTATAGTAGTTCATAAAATAAATAGAAACAAGATCGCTTAATTTCAAAAAAAAAAATAAAAAATAAACCAACTAAAATTAATATTAATATGAATAATTTAAATTATCGTTAATTTTATAAAATAAATTTACTTTAACTAAATAAGTAAAAGTTTAACTATTGATATTCTAAATTAATTGTGCAACTATGTAAAATTTTAACACAGATTTCATTTTTGTCTATTATTAATCTTTTTTCAATTTATTAAAACTTGTTTAATCGAAATTAATGTTAAATAAAATGAACTAATTAAGATTTTTAAGAATTTAATCGAATTTATTTATATAAATTATTTTTCTTTACTAAATATAGCAATATAATTTTATTTGAAAGTGACTTACGCAAAATAAATTGAAAAAATTAGGACTATTGCGAATTGATTTGATTATATTAATATTTTCTATAAAAAATTGTATTATAATTTTTAATAAATATCGAAATAATCAAATATTTTGAAATTTTTACAAGTTAATATAATATTTTTATTTATTAGAATCATGAGAATTATTTCAATTTTTTAAATAATCCTATTTGCTTATTCATTTCACAAATAGATTTCGTTTTATTAATTTAAATACCACTTTACCAAATTATTTTGAATTATTTCGATATAGATTATCTATTTTAAATTAAAATCGTATATTTTATTTATAAATAAAATTCAGTAATAATTCTTGAATATTGATGTTTAAAAATATTAGCTTTTTAATTTCAAGTATTTTAAATTTTTTCAAACATTTTTAATATAATTCAAATTATTGCGAATTATTTTGTACTTATAGTTCATAGTAATTTATCTAAATCTGTTTCATTCTTGAATATTGTCGTTTAAAAATTTTAGCTCTTTAATTTCAATTATTTTTAATTTTTTCAAACATTTTTAATATAATTCAAATTATTTTGAATTATTTTGCTTTTATAGTTCATAGTAATTTATCTAAATCTGTTTCTTCTTGAATATTGTCATTTAAAAAATTTTAGCTCTTTAATTTCAATTATTTTAAACATTTTTAATATAATTCGAATTATTTCGAATTATTTTGCACTTATAGTTTATAGTAATTTATTTTAATCTGTTTTGAATTATTTCGAATTATTTTGCGTAAAATTAAATTATTTCTTGCGTAATATTGCGTAATTATCTTATATAATATTTCGTAATTATATATTTTGCAATATTGTGAAAGTTATTACGTAATATTACAGTTTTCTTACACTTCGTAAATTATTGTGCAATATTACGCCCTATTAAATTCGCTGATATAGTATTAGCGCAACTATATTGTATAACTATCTTATAAATAAAATTTAATGTTTCAATTTCATTTTTTTCCATATAGGCAGATTTTAAAAATTTGGTGATATTCTCAAATAAAATCTTCAAAATTTGTACCAATCAAAATAATAAAATTTGTGATAATTTCAAATTTGTCTTATATTGATTGGTTGATTATTTAATAACAGTAATTACAATACAGTATTTATTTTTATGAAATTATTGCTTTTTTTTTATTAAATATTGTAGTTTGAAATTTTGTATTTACACTCAGCAAGATCTTAGATTCAAAGATCCCAAAATAGTTTTTTAAGTTTCCAAAATAGACAAAACTTTTACTAGTGACAACAGCAAAGGTTTGTTTATTAATATAATAGTTAAAGTACTATTTACTTTTATAAAGCCATCACTTTTTTTACTTTATTATAACGGTTTGAAAATTTATATTTATACTTAGCAAGATCTTAGATTTAAAGATTTCAAAATAGACAAGACTTTTACTAATAACAATGCTAAAAGTTTATTTATTAGAATAATAGTTAAGGTGCTATTTATTTTTACAAAGCTTTTGCTTTTTCCTTTTTATTATAATGGTTTGAAATTTTGTATTTATGCTCAACAAAACTTTAGTTTCAAAGATTTCGAAGTAGTTTTTTAAAATTCTAGAACAAGCAAAACTTTTATTAATAACTATCTTGAAGATTTAAAAAAATTTAGATACATTTGTGCAATGATTTCAATATCTTGTATTATATAATTCATTAGATAAATAGATATAATATATGTGGTTTAAATAATAAATAAATATGGGCGAAGTTGTTTAATTAACTGTTAATATGTATAAATCAAAATATACTAATACGTACATACATAGTAAGGGTGCTAACATTTATTAGATAATATTTTAGAGAGTGGGGGGTCAAGCAAAACCTTACCTCATATAAAACAATTATAGCTAATTAAATTTAGCTAAATATCTTACCTGGGGGTGGGGGGTAAGCCTCTATAGTAAATGGATATTAGGTAATAAATGTCAGCACCCTAATATGTCACCTTGCTAATATATTACTTGTATATTAAATTGGTCATCGTGGTGTGGCTTTGTTTATATATATGTAACATAGTTGAATTTCCAAAATGCTTTTTATATTATGCTTGATCATGAATTTTGATTGGTTAATAAACTTTTCTAGAGTGATAATATTAGGTAGTTATACAAAATCATGAGTAACTTGGATATGAAAATTGATACTTATTCACAGCAGGATACGGTATAAAATATTGATATTGTTTTAAATTAAAACAAACTTTTTAAGTATTTGCAAAATTTTTTTTACTATGTTCAAGAACTTCAATACAAAACTAACAAACTATATATTAATTATATAAATTTGACATTTGGTCTAAGAAAATATAATGTAAGAATATGTGGTTTTTTTGCCCATATTACTATTGAAATAATAATAATATGTAAAAAAAATTTTTTAAATATTTATATACTGTATTTTTGTAACATAATACAATAAAAAAATAAAAATAAAATGGAATTAAACTGGAATTGGACTATATCCAATAAATAAATAATAAATTTTGGATATTGTCCAATGCCAATGGTTTCAATATGTATTGAAATTTTTTGGATTGGTCTAAATTTCAATAGTCCAATAATTTAATAAAATTTTATTGATCATTGCCCAATGCCAACACTGCTAAGCACCATTCAAAATAAACATATTGGGTTGTTTTGAATCGTGGTCAAATTGACTTTGTGTCCAAGTAACTAAGGAAAAAAAAAATTTAAATTTAAAGCAGATTTTTTAATAAATAACATGCTAAATACTTTACCTCACGAATATTATTTATTCCGTATTTTATCATGGTGGGTCTTTCTAAGCTGTAAAAAAAAATAATTTATATTAGATTGAATATGACAATGTTTGCGTAATAATATCAGGGTTGGTCAAATCGTTAATAATACAAGTATAATAATATATATTGACCAATTTAACAAATGTAAACCTTATTGCACGTCCGAAATGTGTGACAGGTTGATCCGATAAAATTAAAAAAAAAAGTTTTCTACAAAATTTTGCCTATGAAGCTGCTTTTATTGCTTAAGAAATTCTATTCATAATTTTGGTCTTGTCTAACTCTTCTCAAGAAAACTCTAACATTAAAATTTTATTTAATATGGCCGATATTAATCAATTAGTCGTAACCTGTCACACATCCGGTCTTGCGACCCCTATACTGGATCGGTCAAAATTGGTCAGGTTAAAATTGGCCATTAACCGGTCCGCGCCAACCCTGAATAATATGCATACCCTAAACCCCAAGCGATAACCCGAACTTCCGGATCAAGTCCCATTGGTTCCAACATTTCTGGACGGAACATGCCAGAATTTCCCATTTCCACCCATTTACCAAGACCTTTATTATAAAAAATGACAACTTAAATAAGGTACTAATTAACAAGGATAATCCCGTAAAAATAAAAAATCTTGCCTTGGTGATACGAAAAGATCTCCATACTTGGTTCTGTGTACGGATTATAAGCAGGTTTGAAACGAAGGTTCCTCACTCCTACATAAATACACGTTAAATAATAAATTTGGTAATGCTTACAATAAAGATTACTAACCCATTTTATTAAAGAAAGTGTTCATGAATCCAATCAAGTCCCCCAACGTTAATCCTTTATCAGCAATAACACCTTCCACTTGGTGGAATTCAGCCAAATGAGTAGCATCTACAGTCTCATTCCTGAATACACGATCTATAGAGAAGTATTTCACCGGTTTGAATTCTTTTTGTTGCGCAATATTATATAGCATAAACGAAGATACTGCAGTGGTGTGTGTTCTTAAAATCAACTTTTGTGCCTCTTCGATTTTCCAGTCGTAACCATACCCAGTGGAGCCATATCCACCTACGGAATGAACTTCCTTAACGCGCTTAAGATATTCGGTGGGGAATTGCGTGCAAATTGCAGGATCTATAAATTAAACTGCAATTATTATTTGTGAACAATAAACATTAAGAACCGTTAATATAATACCTTTTAAAAAGAAGGTATCGTGAGCATCACGAGCAGGATGTTGTTGAGGTTGGAAAAGGGAGTCAAAATTCCAGAAGGATGACTCAACAAATTTATTTGTTGGCATTTCCTCGAAACTATAGGTTTGTTACGATAAAGTTTATTTTTATAATTATTATTCATTTTGCAATGTAATAACAACAACAATAATAATAATAATATAATACCCCATTTCAAAGAAAATTTGCCGAAATTCCTCACGAACCTTCATTAATGGATGCAAATGACCACCTGAAGGTGGTATACCAAGAGCATCAAAGTTATATTTTTTGAAATTTGCTTTTTTCCATTCACCACTATGCAAATATAGTCAATATTGAATAAGATCTTTCAAGAGATAGACTAATTAAAAACCGATGCATGCATTATACCTTTGAAGCATCTCAAATGTTACGTCTCGTGCTTGTTTTTCTATGGTCAATGAGAATTTTGGTCCTTTCGATACGGAATAAGAAATAACTTTACTAATTAATTAAGAATATATTAATTCAATAAGGGTGTAATATTTTATACCGAAAAAAAATAAATGTCGCGGCTGATGCTGAAATCTGAACAATTTTTATATGAAATTTTAAAATTTTTGGGGTGTTTTTTTTCTTTTTTTTTTAGGGTTAGATTTGATATTTAAAGAGTAAAGGCGGATTTTAGCAGGGCTTATATTTTTAAATCGAGCCTCCACATTTCAGCATCAACCGCGACAATAAATAAAATTGCAACACATTACATACTGCTTATCGCAAAGTTTTCTTTTTCTCAATTCAGATAATACTTTTGGATCCGAATGTGTTCCGGTTGAACGAATCACCTCGAGATCAATTCGCGTTTGATCTATAATGGAATCAACCTTCGACATAAAATGAAATCATAGAAGTATATATTATTATTACCATCATATAATATATGGCATATTAGATCAGGTGTAGACATACGGCGCGGACTAGATTATCTCCGTTTTTAATAACCCATTTATTTTTGAAAGCTTTGCCCTGCCCAATTTTTGCAGTTTCACCCAAAATTTCCTAAATGTAGTTTTCAGAGAATGTTTTAGCAAAGATTAAGTTTGATATAACGGAGTTATATGCAGTGAGTATACACACACGTAATGCAGATATTGCTATTCCTTCTTCACCAATGGGAATAGCATCAAAGACCTTGGCTTCGTGGCTTCCTTTATCAGCGATTTCATTTCCCTCATCCGTCAGCATCCATACTTCTTCTTCAATAGTTTCATATTTGACCATCTATAAGAAACGCCGTCAAAGATTACATTTAATGAAGGAAAAATTTTTTAACGAAAAGCGAACCTCTTTATCTGCAATACTCAAACTTTTCAAGGCACCGAGTAATGCTAACTGATCAACCTCTTTGTTATCAGAGGCTACGAGATCTTTTGTATTAGGAATTGTGCCTCTTGCATCGAGAGTTGTAAGAACTAGCGTTTGAAGTTCCTCTGTGGTGCTCATGATTGAGTAAACCTAATGCTAATTCTATATATATATATATATATATATTTTTTATGTGACGGCCGATGCTGAATTTGGCTGATGCTGAATATCACGTGATGTTTCGGGCCGGAAAAACTTCCCCTGGATCGCCACCAAAATACTAATAAAATTTTTTCGATCACGTGAAACTATCCAATAATAAATCACGCCTTGGTGTAACGTAACACAATCAGGAAGATCCGAAACAAACGTTCGTTTTCAAAAATTCTCCTCTAACTCAAAAATTTACATAAGAAATCACCTTCTGTGCATTAACAAAAAGTTTTTCTTGAGCGATTTTGCTATTAAAAACACATAAACCCTAACCTTAGCACAGACCCTAACCCTAATCTAAACGAACTTAACGATTTTTGTACGATCACGTGATCGAAAAAAAATTGGTGGCGATGCTGGGGAAGATGGCCGGAAATTGCAGATCGTGTCTTGACACGATCAACAGGGGGAACCGTCCCATCATTTGTAGATCCGTTACACAATTCACAAAAAATTTTTTTATACTGTTTTAAAGTACTTTTTCAGAAAGCTCACGTTACTTCCCCTACTTTGAAACGTGGAGTAGCGATTTGTAAAATTGAAGGTTTTGACTATAATATCGAGTGAATCCCAGTGAATCCCACAACTTTTATATATAGATTTGTCCAAAGAAGATATATATAAAATGAAAGAATGCATTAACTGCCAAGCTACCAAATCTCAAAAATTCCGTGCGTTGAATAAGAAAAAGTGGAAAGAGGCCAAGGACAACGATTTAGTGAAGGAAACGTGGGTTGAAGGTGTTATTTTGTGCAATCATTGTTATATGAATTTGATACAAAACCCATTAAGAAGCCTCAAAAGAGTAAAAAGCAAGGAAGAACAACTTGAAGAGGAGGAAGAGGTAAGTATGTTAGAGGCGGAGGAAAGTACTAAAATCGATCTTACTAAGGCTATTAAGTCTATAGCAAGAATTCTTTATGAGAGGAAACATGTAAAAAAGAAAGAACCTATTTATATTTTTGATGAGATACAAGAATTATTTCAAAAAACTAATCTAACTCTTAAAGATTTTTTCGATCAGCTTTATTCTGTAGCTAGACCACTTGAACGTAATGAGCAAACGATGGGCCGCATGAAGAAATTGATAGTTTTAATATGTTATCTTTTTGCCTCTTTGAATAACACCAAAATTAATTCCTTTAAGCTTGATCTTGCATTTTATCTAGATTCAGCGGGAACAAGTAAGGAAGGCTTGAATACAATGGCGAATCTTGGTGTTGCTACGACGTCAAAGATGGTAAATGAGCGAAAGAGAAAAATATCTAACATACATGAAGAAACTGTGGAGAATGCACTTTTGCAGTATTTGGATAATGCACTTGTGCTAAACGTTGATAACTATCACAATATCCATGTTCCACACCGACCTGACACTACTAGTACTTCTAAACCGACGCATATGGCAACAATTTTAGTAAATCCATCTTTAACACTAGTGATACTGTCTGATAGAGTCCTTAATCCCAGGTTTGTCGATAAAGGTTTGCTTATAAAACATCTTAATGTACGATTTATTGTAAATCTTGGTGTTTTATATTCTGATCATATGCAAAGCACTAAAATATATACTGATGAAGAGATAATAAATAATTTAGTGTTACATAGCTATAATAACAGACTTGTGGAGAAGAAAAATGAACGGCATATACACAACTCTATTCTCATCGATTTTATTGAGAAAGACTTGAAAGGTATAGAAGAATACCTGGAGGCTCTTCGTACTGTATATAATAAGGAGCCAATGCAACTATATCTTTCCAATTGTGCGGTTCCTATCATTGCTGATTGGCCCAGCCAGTTTTTTATCTGCAAGGCTATTGCTCAACAGTTTCTCTTCAATAACGAATGCGTTCCTCGTTTCATTTTATCGTTCTTACCCATTATGGGGCCTAGTGATTGTACTCGGTCAAAAAAACATTACCTGGTTAACCAGCAAGTATACCCGCGGGTTAACCGAGTGATCGACAGGTATACTCGGGTATACTCGGGTATAAAATTTTACCTGTTGTACCTGGTTAAGGACCCACTTAGTATCGCCACCAAAATCAGGTATGTAAACAGAGCTTAAATTTATTGAATTCATTACCGATATTAAAATAGTGGCATTTATTAAGAATAATAACAAATTTTTACAATGAAAATTTTTATTTCTTTGAATATCGTAATACAATATTTCTAAAATAAACACAACTTTATTCATCTTGTCGAATTACGAAACCAAAAACTGCATTTCAGAATAATAACAATCA